CAATCCTCCGAGGCCATTTAAAGCTACAGCCCATTTTTTGGTAGATTTCATTGAGCGCTGTGACCACCGAGCACCCTCACGGTTATCAATGATTTAACACTCAGAAACTCTCAGGACTTTCAGAGCCAGTCACAGACAGGTAAAGCCCAACCACTTTTTCTGTTATTAAATATGATACAATCAGCTGAAGCAGATTAGACTTGAAAAAGCCAAGAGGTTTGGGAAATGATTTAAAAAGTCCCTTAATGGACCCATGGGCAAGGCACTTAAACTGAAAGTGCTGCTGTGGAGCTATTTAGTAGCTAGTGGTTGAAAAAATGCATTTGAGGATAGCTGGTTAATTGAATATGCTTCTAAAGACAACAAGCAAACAGTTGTCAGTTTAAAATTCAGAAGACGTGGTCAAGATCTGGTAGAGCTGGCTGGTTTCTGGCCTAGAAGTTATGTTCTGAAATTTAGGACTTTCCGAAGCTTTCTAGTTTCTCTAAAACAGATTAGAACGCTCCGTCTCAATGTTAACACAGCTTAAGTCATTCAGTACTCTCTGTGCAGAGCACGTGTTAAAATCTTATTGCTGCTGCTCTCTTGATGCACTGATCTGTGAGGCTGGTGGCAGCCATCTTGGCACAAAGACGTCAGTGGAGACTTATAAAAGCGTTATGGCTTTATGTTAGAAGGGTGGTGTCTGCATTTCTTTTTGCCTTGTCATTCTTTGTCTTTTTCTTCTCCACCTTCATCATCTTCTTCTCTTCTGTCACACCAACAATCTGCTTGTCCTCTTGTCACTGCTTCTCTAAACCTTTCTCTGTGGTCTTCCTCTTTTTGTCTATCTTGTCATGTCATTGTTTGAACTAAAAGAAATGTGTGATTGGCAAGATTACAAATTACAAGGTGGTTCAAAATGATGCTAAATAAAATTAAACCCAGACTGTATTTTAGATATTTTGAGATTACCATGATTCAGTAAGCCCTTAGTTGTCTTGGTCAGATACAAGGCATAAATGCTGGTGACGGACGAGGAATAGCACCCATTTCTTAATGTGCTTATTTTCTTTAGACATGGCTCGTGTGTGATGGAACAATAAAGGAAGAATTTGGCATTTTGGTGAATGGGTTTATTTTATTTCCCCTATACTGCAGTACAGGCACCACTCTTATGTCTGTATGGCAGATATGAAGCTAATCCTGATCGACTTATCACATACACTAGAAGCACTGTGTCTGTAGCACTTCTGGTTGCAGTGGTTAGCACTGTCACTTCACAGCAGGAGGTTTCCTTGCATGTGCAAGCTTGGCAACAGACCACATGAACTGGACAGGCAACTTTGACAGGGGGGGCATTTGGCTCAAGTGACTTTGCTTTTTCATGAAAACAAAAAAATTGCACTTGTACTTGCACTGGCACATACATGCAGTACAATCATAGATAAATGTAGCTATAGTTATAACAGTGCAAACATGGTTGTCTTTGATTGCAGAGGCAAAATAGAAAAAAGAAAAGAGAGACATTTTCTGTAGGTGCAGAAATGGATCAGGGAAATCACCAACGACTGTGAGCACACAGTGTCCTCAACACATTTCCAACGTATTTGTAGTTTTTGAGTGAAACAGCTTCACAAGCTAGTTTTAAAGCGAGATAATGGGTAGTTCTCAAAGTCTGACCTGCCCATCGTCCTCACTCAGAAGCAACTACTGGGAGCTGAATCGATTGAACTCACACTGCAGCTTATCAGCAAAATGAGTTTAGTTTTTCATTGCCACTTTGTATGGGTTTGTGTAACTTACAACTCAAGTGTCACTGGTCTCACTAGAGGGGCCCCAAGGACTTTATTGGGCAGGTTTGGACCCCCGAGGTCTGTCAATGTGCAGACGGTGTCACTGTGCCTGCATTGGTTTCTAAAGTACTGTATGAATGTATAGTCAGAACTATAGTTGCAGCAGATGGCATATAAGTAAATTGAATTGAATTATAGTCTAAATTAAAAAATTAGTGTAGACTAACTGAAGCTAAGGTGACTGTCTCTCGACTTGAGTTTCATATTTAATAATGTAAAAATTGTCCTGTTTTTTTCATAAAAAAGAAAAAAAGGCCTATAAACATGTTTTCCAAAAATGAAGCGCTATTTTATTATTATCGTATGGTAAACAATAATTTCAGCTTGACAAAAGACCGTGTGGGCATCTGCATTCCTAACTTGAATACAAACTCACAAACTGGAATATATGATAACCAGTAAAACAACAGCATCGGATGGAGTCACTCAGAGTTTACTTGGGTGTATTTTATTTTCCCTGAAGGTTTTTATTCAGCTGTTTTAACAGCCAGTAGCTCAGTAGTCATTCTCTGGTATTTCAGACAATGCATCCATCCCAATTACAGAGCACGATGCACTATTTACAGTTAAATGGATAACTACATTGCAACAACCTGTCATGGTATTGGGGATTTATGACATAGATGAAAAGTTTGTTCTTGCTGTGAAGAAAGATTTTCACCAACCAAACTACTGTGTCCCCCGCCACGAAAGTGTTGATTCTGTGAGGTAATTATTCCTGTATACATTTAGTCAGTTTAGCCCCACACATAAATGCTTCTGCACCCAAAATGCATCAGAAAGAAAAAGAAAACAAAACACACTAGTGAATTTGATTATTTCCTTCTTCTTGAACCCCACAGTGGTGCTACGGGTTCTATGTGACACACCAGCAGGGGCACACGGGCTTTGAACTCTTTTTTAAGACCAGAGAGCTGAAGAAGAAGTGGCTGGATCAGTTTGAAATGGCCATGTAAGTATACAGAGACATGAACACCACAGCGGTGACAGTTTGGTAGCCGTGCTGCAGACACGTAATCACACTGGTCTTATGCGTGGGTGTGTACGCTGTTTATTTGTCTTTGTTTGCATGTGTGTTATTCCAAGGCCAAAAGAGGTGTTGACTCTTTCATGTGCACTGTTTGATCAGGTCTTAGCTGTTACCAAGCACACACTGCTGACAACAGTAAGATAACACACTCACACACACATATACAGCTGCACATAAACTGTTCCAGAGAGCTGCAGAACTACAAAGAAGTCACTCTGCCTCGATGGTTTTTCAAATCAGTGCTTTATGGAGATATATCTTTCATATTATTTTGTAACAGTAGGAAGCTTTTGCGGGCAGATATCCCATCCACATCCTATTTTATGTTGATTTGGAAGAATACTGTCTTGTTTTGACATCACACTCTGACTGAACAAATGTTTTTTTGTTGGGGTTGTATATATATGTGAAACCCAACTGTATGCTGTGGCCTTTCTAAATACACTTCTCGGTGAAAGTATTCTTGATATGTTTACTGTACCAGCAATGCAAATTGTACAGTACACAATGTGCAGTTTTAGTACTTCTCTGTCTTTCCTTGAACTTAAACTTTATGCAGTGACGTATGAATTTCTACACTTCCATTATCATTAAGCCCCTGGCACTAAAAACTGAATGTGTAATTTCCAAAATTTAAAAGAAAAGGCTGTATCCATTTTCACCCCAGGTTTAAAACTGTTTTGCCGCACGGGCAGGGTTTGCACCTGAAAACAGCGACTTGTGCCTCTGTGCATTGAGTAATGACACCAGAAGGGGCCAATTCAAAAAGTGAAAATTGTACCTACCTAAGAGGATGTGGGCTTTTGATGAAGGACTCACTTATGGGAGCACTCAGTCTAAGTGGCTTCTGGATGGCGTGTTTAATACAAAAATGTTTTGTGTGTTTATTCACGTTCCAGAAAGGCTGCCTATTCCTGCTATTCATGTTTCCACCTCTCATGGTGCAGATGCACACATGCAGATCAAAATTAGAATTGTCTTGTCTCATTCAAGTCCTCTTCATTTATTCGGATGCGTGCACTGTAGGTAAAATTGCTTTTATTTCAATCAGCTGAAGGAATAAACTAAAGATTGTTCTTCCCCAACAAAGTTGCTCTGTTTAGTTGATGAGGAAATTATTAAGAATGAATTGTATTTGAGTAAACAGGAAGAAAATTGTTCCCACTACTGAGACGCCCACTCATACAAACGTAGT